TTGTAGAGGAGTATAAACATAGTAATATTTCAGAAATGAAAATGAAACAAATGTAAGCCCAGCTACTATGAGTCCGTGTTGTACCCTGGTACTTGGTAACTTTTTCTACTTGGCTTGATTGAACAGAATATATACTAGCTGATTGATAACAGCATGAAAGATATAGGATTTTAATTTAACATGAACAATTATTTATTTTACCTATGTGTTAGTCATTTTTCCATCTCTGAAAAATCCATGAGATACACAACTTAGAAGGAAAAACATTTACTTTGGCCTAGGATGTCAAAGATGTCAGTTGGGTGGTCTATTGGCCCAGTGGCTTTGGGTCTGTGATAGGGTAGAATGTAGACCAGGGGATGGCTACATAGGAGCAAAGCTATGATAGGACAGAAAGAGACCCAGGGGATGCGTGTGAGCAGGCTGCTTACCTCACAGTGGCCAGATTAGGAGCCAGGGCCTCAGCTCCTCCAAGGGCCTGCCTCTCATGACTGCCTTTTTCCAACCATTCATTCCCTCCTCTGAAGTTTCACCCTCCTCCTTAGAGTGTCATCAGCTGAGGACCAAGCCTTCAACACATGAGCTATTAAGCCCTAATAATAGTCTTGTACTCATAAAATGGAACTTGTGGTATAAATTGAGAAAATACTAGTGCGGTATGTACTAATGCATGTGTGTGTCCAGAGTATAGGACTGTAGCACTGCTGCCTGGCTTTTGGAGGATTCTGGTCTTTGTACAGTAAGCAGGTGGGGTAAAAGTGAAAGATTGAAACTTCTGGTGGTGATCAGGAAATGGAGGAACAAGAATCAGTATTAAAATTAAGTATTCTGTTTTAAATTATGTTTATCATATAATAGAGTCTATTTTCTCTAAAGGGCTTGACTATTAAATATTTTGTTTTTTTAAACCTGATTTAAAAAAAAAATTTGTGTGTGTGTACGTAATATAATAAGCTTGGTGATCTTAGAGGCAAGAAGTTTCTGTAGGGGAGATAAGAAACTGAAAAGCTACTTCAAGCTAAAGACCCAGCATTGCACAGTTAACAACTGAGCTCAACACTTTGTAGCTATACCTTGCATCTGTTTGCCAGAGTACAAATGTGAAAATGCAACCATAACATGCATGTCTCTACAGACTGCATTGATGTATAATTTCAGACTTACTCTGTCCCATTTGAGGCTTGTATATAATATAATACTGCCTTCATTTGTTTGTGACAGGATCTTACTGTGTTGCCTAAGCTGGCCTGGGACTCTAGGTAGCTTGGGCTAGTTTTGAACTTGACAGTTGTCCAACTTTCACGTGCTGGGATTATAGGTGTGTGCCACCTTGCTGGGCTAGATCTGCTATTTTGAAAGAGACTACATGAATCACTGGAGCTGAGCAAGATTTATTACTTTCTGAAATACCGTTTATAGTTACTATGAATAATTTTAGATAGCATGGAACACTTGTTTTATAGTCTTATCAGGAAGTCTTCTTGGCTTTTCCCCTCCAAATATAACCTAAATTAGTCTGTTCCTCTGTGTCCAGTCTAATATGATCCTCACCTGGACTTCTCGATGATTGCTATGTTTTTTATGTTTATCCCTTCAAATTCATAGTGAATGTCAAATCACCAATATGATAGCTGGTGGGTATGGCCCTTGGGCAGGTATTTAGGTCATGACGGTAGCATCCCTAGGAATGGGGTTATATCTCTAGAAAGGGCTTGACAAAAAATGAGTTTGCTTCTTTTTTTCCTTCTACCTTTTGCCAGGGGGAGAACTTGGTGTTCCTACTCTGGAGGTCACAGGTAGATGCAACATCTTGGAGGCAGAGAACTAGACTCTTAGTAAAGAACAAAGTTTCCCGTGGTCTAATCTAAGACCCTTGCAGTGCCCAGAACTATAGGAAATAAATTTCCAGTCACTAGAAATTGCCAGACTGGTATTCTGTTATAGTAGCACATGGTAGGCTAGGGCAGTAGTTAATTCTACTGTGTGTGAAAGGGTATCTTTTTTTAAAATTATTTTTATTTTACATGTATGTGTGTATTGCCTGTGTGTAGGTAAGTGCACCTGTGTCCTGCAATGCCCGCAGAGGACAGAAGAGACTGTTGGATCCCCTGGAACTGGAGTTACGGACAGCTGTTAGCTGCCATGTGGGTGCTGGGATTCGAACCTGGGTCTTCTGCTAAAACAGTGTTCTCCAATCTGTGAAAGGGTTGTTCAAATAAAGTCAGAGATCAGAAGAATCCTTGAAGAATGTCTTGCTTGCTTTAACGAAGCTAGTCACTAGAAGCTGTTATGTCTGTGAGTAGAAGATTAGCAAGAGCCTGGTAAGAGACTGAAGAAATAAATTCTAACATCACAGAGTAGTTCCTGTGAAGCAGAAACTCCTAAGAGCTTCTGAATAGAGATTATGTTAACTCCTGTGACAGGAAGTCATCACTGCCTTGTTACTAGAACAGCAACCTCAGCTTTAAATGTTTTGTTGTCATTATAGTTAAATGTAGTATTTACTGTGTGCCAGGTACTGTTTACTTTTAGTGAAGATCGGTGCTGTTATTTCACAAATGAGGCACGGAGGCTTAGAGTCTTTCCAAAGGTCACACAGCCAGTCTGTTGCTGAGCCAAAATCCTAATTACAGAGGCTTGACTAGAATCCTTTTTTTTTTGGAGACAGTGTTACTACAGAGACCAGGCTAACCTCCATGCTGTGCCATATCCTTACTTTTAACCACACTACAAATACTGCGAAGTTTACCTCATACAGAATTTGTGTCTAGAATATATAAAGAGCTTCTAGAAAACAATAAAAGGCTAATATAAACAAAGACTTTTAAAGATAAGTATATGACAAGAAGAAAAAATGTTGTCATCAATCACAGGAATAAAAATTAAAACCAGAGTACTTGGTAATAATATACACAGTACAGTGAGTAAAATTTAAAAGAGTGAAAACACCAAGTAAAGGTAGGGATGTGTGGGGCCCATGAAGTTGTCACACACTATCCATGAAATAATTATAATTACTTTGGAAAACAATTTATTTTGTGTGTGGTTAAGCAGTCAGCTGTCCTGTGAGCCATTCGTTATGTTTCTAGCTAATTGAGAGAAACGAAAGACTTGCATCCTCTGCCGCATAGTGAGTTCTCAGGCAGCCTGAATTACAAGAACTAGGAACAATCGAACTGCCCATTGGTGTAAGAAAGAATAAATAATTATGATTTATTTATTCAATTTAATAAAATTTATCAAATGAACTTCTGATACACTAAACAATGTAGTAAGCAGGAAAAGAATAGAAAACAAGGAAAATAGTCAGACAAGCAGAGTTCAGTAATAATTGTTCCTGACTCCATTATACGCAGGCCCAGAGTAGGCAAAGTGAGTCTGTGTGTTACAAATAAAACAGTGGTTACTTATCTGGTAGAAAGAAGGCATAGGAGAATTTTCTAATGTGATTAAAATTTGTATCTTTAAAAAATTTTTATTTATCTTATGTGTATGAGTATATTGCCTGCATGTGTATATAAGTGTACCCATATCATACAGTGCCCGCAGAGGTCAGAAGAGGGTTGGATCCCCTGGAACTGGAGTTAACAGATGGTTGTTAATTGCCATGGTGGTTTTACAGGTCTTGGTCCATACTCGTCAACAACACATTTCTTATAGTTTTGGAGGATGGGCAGTTCAAGATGAAGGTATGAGCAGATGTCATGATGTGTATTGAGGGTCTGCTTTCAGGTCCATGGATGATGCTGCCCTAGCTGTGGCATCATATGGAGAAAAGAATGAGGTAGTTTTTTCAAGTTTCTTTTCTAAGGGCATTGACCCCAATCATGAGGATTTTTGTCTTCATGACCTAATCAGCTTCCTAATATTTCCCTCACTTTTGGGTTTAAGGCTTCAACAAATTTTGAGGGGACACTAACACCTGGATCAAGCAGCACATGTATGCATTTGTTAGAATTTGGTTTAACTGTATATTTAAAGTTGATATATGCTACTGTGTATAAGGCACACCTCAATGAAAAAATAGTAAAGATTGTTTTAAAAAGCAAGAGCTTTCAGAAAAGCACAGTAGCAACGGAAATGGCAAGAAGTAGCTTGCAACATGCAGAGACACATTAAGCAGACGCCTGTTACATAGAACCTCAGTCGATACTCAGAATAGCACTAAGTTTAAGTGGTATTCAGCATGATTTTCTAAGAAGTCAGCTTGGTTTATTAATCCTAGAAAGGATTTTATTAGTAGTCACCAGAACTTTCAGAACTAAAGACTTACATGTCAGTTGTATAGGACAGTTAGTACACTGAACACATTCCTAGTTTTATATAAAGGATCGTTGTCAATATGGGAAAGTGTTACTAAATGGAACTAGTCTCATCAAAGAAATGGAATCAGTCAGATCAAAGAGCATAGAATCTGCCAAAGTGAGGGCATGAAAGGTTTCCACAGACTAATTTGGTTGATGAATAATTTAAACAGAGCATTTGTCTCTGTGATTTATATAAAGGATTTGGGTTTCCTATTGCGCTGGTAGAAGAAATTTTTAGAAACTGGCATCTAAGCCCAAACATGATTATTTCAATGTTTTGTTTATAATATATTCCAGAACTTTGAGAACTTAGAAACAATATGCTAAAGTAAATAGATCAGTAATTTGTCCTGGTTGTTATGACAAATGGACACATGCATGCAAGTTGGTATCACCCATGTAGCTGGGATCTATCATCACCTGTTCCAGAGTGAGCAGATGTGCCTACCAAAATGACTAATTGAAATAAGAGTCTTATAGTCTTTTTAAGCTTAGGCTTCAGAGGGAAGCATCACCCTTAGTGCTCTCTCTACTTCTTTCACATAGGTTGTTTTCAGGGGGCTATCAGGGCAGTAGTAGTGAACACATTACCTATGTGGTCTGTGTGGTCTTCGGCTTCTCAGATAAGACTGACAGGTCGGCTTTTTTGTTGTTTATGGAAAACCTAATTCCTGATCTTTCCATCTATTTCAGTAATAGTTATGCACGAGTGCGAGCTGTGGTGATGACCAGAGATGACTCAAGTGGTGGATGGTTGCCACTTGGAGGGAGCGGGCTAAGCAGCGTCACTGTCTTCAGAGTCCCTCACCAGGAAGAGGATGGCTGTGCTGACTTTTTTATCCGTGGAGAGCGACTCAGGGACAAAATGGTAACAAATAATTATCTATTGCTATATTTTTAGGGTACTTCATATAAAATGAATTATCTGTTTAAAATTAGGACTAGTACATTATTTATATGAAAGTTATTTTTGCCCATGACTCAGTGATTATGTTTTGGGAGCTGTTTTTATGTTGACGACAGTGATACATGACTGTCTTTCTAGCTGGGCCTGACAGTGATACATACATTCTGCATGGGGTTGCTGTTTTGCTATTTAGGCTTAATGCATGAATGTTCACAAACAGTCCTCCAACCTCCAACCCTGCCTCACTTTCCTCCTCTATTCACTAGACTAGAGATTGGCAATCCTGTGTTTTGGTATGGACTGAGCCGACAGTGGGGTTTTTTTTTCTTCAGGGGAGGGGAGATGTTTTAAACATTTTTAATGGTTTGCTAAAAACTGCATGGTGGCTCATGCCTGTGGGCCCAGCAATTGGGAGACTGAGGCAGGAGGATTATCTTGACTTTGAGGACTACCTAGAATACATAGTGAGTTCTAGGTTGGCATGGAACATGGTGAGACCCTGTCTCAAAATACAAATGGTTCGTCAAAGCATCATAATTTTGTGACTCAAAATAATTTGAAATTCAAATTTTAGTGTGTGTGAATAGTTTGTTTTGAACTTAGCTCAATTCATGTCATTTATATTTATTTGTGGTTACTTTCAGCTGTATAGACAATTCAGTAGTCATAATAGAGGCCACAAGTGGGCAGCCCCATGCAGAAAAAACTGCTTACAAACTGCTTACTCCTCTGTTGGCTTTTGTTTCATTCCAATGAATCTGCTTATTTTTAGGCACATTAGACTTCCTAGTTGCCAGTCTATATTTTTTTACTCATCTTTTTTTTTTTTTTTTTTTTTAATTTGTTCTTTTTGAGACAGGGTCTCCCTGTAGCCCCAGCTGTCCTGGAACTCACTATGTAGGCCAGGCTGGCCTTGAACTCAAAGAGATCTGCCTGCCTCTGCCTCCCGACTGCTGGGACTACAGGCGTGCGCCACCACGCATGGCCTAATTGAAATTTTTTTAAAAGAATTTCATATATGAGTACGATATTTAACTTGCCCTCCCTTTTAGTGTCTCCCCTACTCCGTTTCAAATTCGTGACCACTTCTTCAGTTATTGTTCATACACACACACACACACACACACACACACACACACACACAGAGTCTAATTCTTAACATTACTGTCTTCTATTGTGTTTTCTTATATTAAAATCTTTAGAAAAATTTCAGTCTGCCTCTTGACGTCAGCATTTTACTTGTTCTTATTTCATTTAAGAGCCAAACGTTTCTAATTACATATGAAAAGCTGAGTCATTAGTGGCATTTTTGTCTCAAGGAAAGACAAGCATATACTTAGCAAAATGAAAATAAAATGTTAATTTTCTGAGACCCTTGAAATATATACTTGTAGACAAGTTTATAAGCCCATTTAGCTTATTATTTCTGTCAGAAATGTTTTATGATACAAACAATTTTTTTTTTTGCATAAGCATTTTGAATACAACTAACTTTTAGTTTGGGATTTTGGTTTCATGATATTTTTTACTGATGAATCATTTCCATAGCTTAGAGAGTTCCTTAACTTATCTGTGCCCAAATTCTTCCAGTTATAGAATTCTGTTAATTATCTTAAAATCCTCCCAACTGTAGTCTTTTGTGAGTTTATCATTTACTTGTAATGCACATGACACAGTGTATCTCTATTAACTAGATTATGTTCAGTATTGTTGGAAACTCAAGTTGAAATGAGAGGTGGATGTATGAAGTTTAAAAGGTGGTTCTGTCCGTGGATAGAATGGCATCTGACACGCTAATGCTTTTTTAAGCTTGGGGGCTTCTCAGCACCTTCAGTCCTACATAAGTATCCTATCCTAGAGTATGTTTCTAATTTGATAACCGAGTATATTGTTGCAAAAGAAGTTGTAAATTGTAGAAACTCAATACAGAGGAAAGAAAGAGGGACAATCTAAAATGTTTCTTGTGAAACCTTTAGTAGTAACTTTTAAAGTAGCAGTCAGATACAGAGTGAGTTAGAGAAAAAAGTTTGCTAGAAAAAGCATATCAATAGGAAAAGATGACCTAAGATATAAAATAAATTAGTAAAATAAAATACTGAAAATACTAATGGAAGTTGTTTAAGTTAGGATAATTGAGATACCAAAACAGTCTTAATTTGAAGTGAGGCTGATCTGATAGCTCAGATTGATAAATTCAGTAAGTGGTCAGGATGTGGCTTTACGACACAACCACTGAAAATGAGTCTGGGATTCAGAAAGAACAGTGATGGGGTAGAAGAAGGTCAAGGGGAATGAGGGAGAGAAAGCATGCAGCAATAAGTAGGAAACATCGTCCTGGGACAGAGGACCATGAGAGGAAAGTGAAAAATAGCTTCTGCTAGTGCTGACCAGGAATCAAAGCATCAGTTCTTTTACCTAACCATTTGCCCCTTGTGAAACGGGTAGTAAACAGATCCATTGTAGACCCCAAGGAGGAATTGCTTTCAGGTGGGAGGGTTACTATGTTTCTCAGAGGGATTAGTTACAGTGAAGCACCCTAGGTTATAGGGACTTGGGCTCAAAGGTAGAGGCAGTGATTTGTGAGTATAACTTGAAAATAGCAAAATGTTGTGCAGTCTCAAGACAAATGAGACCTGTGACATTGAAATAGACAATTCGCTTTCTGATCATAGTGTCCATTTCCATAGGCTATTTTATTGATTTGGTTTATTCTAGCCTGTTTTTTTCTGGGTTTTAGGTTTTTTTTGTTTGTTTGTTTGCTTGTTTTTGAAGAAATATTCTGACTTCCAAATCTGGAAATCCATAATGTCCTTTCCAAATTAATAATAGCTTTCTTTTAAAGGCTTTTCTCAAACACCACATCTTAATTGTTTTCCCTATGTGATAATTAAGTAAAAAATAGTTGCTAGAAGCTATTCTATGTACCCATGTGCCTGTGGGCCTCAGCTTAGAGTCCTCTGCCTTAGTTGAATTATAGAAGTAAAGTTCTTGCTGTTCAGAATCCCTGAAGGAACTTGAGCCCTTTAAGAAAAAAAAAAAATTATTAGAAGTGGTGTAGACGGCCACTGGCTGACTAAAGAAGGCATACTAGGGAAATTCTAGAGGATGTTTACAAGACCCATGGTGAAGAAGAATGATTTCTTTCTATTTTTTTCAATGATGAGCAAAGCATTGCTTTGACAGGAGACCTTTCCAACCTTTGATTTGTAATTACTTGTTATTTGCTAAAAAGTTACACCGTAGGTAGAGAAGGATGCAGTAAGACTCTTAAAACAGCTGAATTACTTAAGTGCTCTTTGTAAACAGGAATAAGCAAGGTTATAAAACAGCTAGCAGTGTAAACTTAGATTGACAAAAGTAGTTTTGAAATGGAAAATGGAAAAACATTTCTAGTTTAGGAAGTTGCTGAGGAGATTAAAGAATTATTTTTAGAATTCATAAATAGGTTGTGGACAAAGTTCATAAATAATTAGGTTGTGGACAAAGTTCATAAAAACTAAAGTGCTTTTAAAATAATTGTTCTGTTGAAAAGAAACACCTTTTTAAAAAGTGGTGCTTCTGCTGCCTATTGGGACCTAAGACAAATGCTTTAACTCGCTTTTACTTAGGGTCCAGCCTTCGCAGTACTGGCTCCTGGGAGATGCTGTTCGTTTAACCGGAATACCACAGTTAAGAAAGGGGAGGGGAGCAGAGGGAGGAGAGGTGGTGCAGCAGTTCCGTATTCCAAGCTCTTCCTCTGCCGCAGTACAAAAGTTCCCGGGGCCGATGCTGTTTACCCAGATCCCCTTCCTCGGGCTTTCCCGTTCCTCTCTGACTTCACGGTTGTTTCCCCTACCTAGCTTGTCCACCCCTGAGCCTCCCCATCCTTCTTGTGCTTTTCTTTCCTAATCTTTACCTTCTGGTCTTCTGCCAGCTGACCCCCTTTCTGGATCTGGTTGTTAGGCAGGACTGTTTTATTTGGATCCTGCAATTTCCTGTTCCTCACGTGTCCCTTTGTACCTTCTCTGTTATTTTGCCTCTACCTTTCTCCTGAGTTGACTAGACTCCTGTATCTTTTCATTAATATTTACTAGCATTAGTTTCCATTAATTTTCCCTATCGTGTAAATTACTCTTTCATTCATATGTCAGTAGGCGATAAGCTGGTGAGTTTTTACCTTACTGTAGAAAGGAACTTCAGTCAGTCATATATCATGACTTTTTAATACTTTGTTTTTGAAGGCTAGTCTTCCTTTCAACTGTGTAACACATTTGTTCAGCAAATACCATTATAGGAACTGAGATTATGTAAATGAACTAGGAAACCTCAGTTTTCAAGAGATAAAATACATTCTAGTGAAGGATAAGTAGACATTAAAATAAGCAAAACAAATAGTGTACTCTCGATAGTGCTAGGGGAAGAATCAGGAAGGGGGACGTAGTGTAGGGAGATTTTGTGAAGAGGTTGGTTAACAATTAGAGTATCCGAGCACAGCCAGACTGAGGACTGGGTGACATCTGTGCGAAGATAATTCATATTTTAGTTTGTACGTTCAGGTTTTCCTAGTTGGAGTATTATTAAAGTATGATGCACTTTGGTACACTATATAAAATCTTGTGCTATTTTTGAATTTGGTTTATGGTATCAAAATATATGTCACCAGTGGTCATAAACCTAGGTGGTTCTTCCCCCCTTGTTCCACCAGACCTTTATTCTTTCTTTTGTCTCTCATCTTTTTCCTCCTCCCTTTTCTTGTTTGCCTTGCCACAGATAAGCCTCCTAAGTTTCACCACCGGGTTTTGTTTAGCTTCTGTACCTCCACTGTGAACTTTTTAAAGCCGAGGTCTGATAATCCTTTAGACTTCTCTAATAATTTCCTTCAGAGAATCCTATTTCCTTATGTCAACACAGAAACTGATCTGGCCCTTGCTGCCGGTCTTTCTCTAACTGCCCTTTTCTCAGTGAAGGGCCATCAGTCATTT